CCGCCACCCCAGCCTCCGGCCTCTCGGACGCGGACTATGGGGTCGGCTCTTCGACCCATTAGGCCACCTTTGGCGCAAGAGGTAGCAAGACTGCGGCGGCAGCGCGCACTGACGCGGTCGTGCTCGCGACGAGGGCGAAATCAAAACGACTGACGGACGGGCACAGACAGGTCGCCCCGTCGCCGTCGGAGCCAAAACAGCGACGGGTGTCGTGGGCGTGCGTGCTTGGGTGGTTGTGAGCTCTCTGCCGCTTTCGACTGTCAGCCCACGACACGTACCGGTGTAGAAACGTCGTGTGAGTACCTCAGATGCGTCTGAAGACCGCAGGGTGGCACCAAATCGGGCGCCAAAGGTCGGCAGAACTGGAAGGCCCCCGAGGGGCCAAAATGGCCCCGTTGGGCTCGTTCCGAGGCTTGGACGGACTCTCGCGGCTGGTTTGTGCGCGATGTCGGCAATGGTGATACACACGCACATCGGGCCGATGCCAGCGGTACCCATTTTACGAGCCTCAAGCCGCGAGCCGCCCTGCAGGCGCCGTTTTGGGGCTCCGGAGCGAGGTCATGCAGAGCCAGAGGGCCCTGGGGGCGCTTTCGAGGCCTCAGCTACCACAACACGCCTTTAGAATGGTCCCTGAGCGGCTCCCACGATCCCACCAGCACCCGAGCTGCACGACACGACCGCTTGTTTGAACATTAGCGACACAAAATATTAGGTCACCGTGCATAGAGAGCGCTCCGCCACTGACAACACAAGCCACACGCACATACACGCAGGTAGACTTGTAGTGCAAAAGAGACGACAAGACGGCCACAATTCAGCATTAGCGAGACGTAAAATGGGCATCTTTTGGTTGTTGGGGAGGGATGTAATGTTGTATACCAAAGAAACAAGAACACCCGGAAACAATCACTGCGAGTCCGAGGGGCCGCGCGCTCGCGCGCCCCCCGCTCTCTGACGACGAGACAGTGTGGCTCAGGAGACCGCTGCCCCCCTCCCTACCCCAGCCCCGGCACCCGCGCCTCCCCTCCCCGAGCCGTCGAGGCATACGAGCGCCGGCGGCACACACACTGGGACACCCGCGGCGAGGACCGTCCCCAACAACCCAGCCGCGCGCCACTAGCCATCTCCATATGGTCTCAAATCAAAAGCCTGTCAAAAGCCCGCACCGCCCGGCGCGTCTTTTGGCCGGGCCGCCGGGTGCGGGCAACCCTAGGGCGCGCCCCCCCTACTTCTTGACCGGCTCCTCCTCCTCCTCCTCCTCCTCGTCGTCGTCGTCCACCGCGCTCACGACGCCGACGGGCCCCTTGCCCTCGCCCAGCGCCTGGAAGCCCATCCGCTTGGCCTGGACGACGGTCATGTTCTTCGAGACGGCGACCGGCGCCTTGATGAAGAGCTTGTGCAGGAGCGCGCCCGCGCCGAGGCCCAGCAGAAGCGTGCCGATGATCGCGATCCACGCGATCGTGTTCTCGCCCCAGCCCGAGTCGTACTCAGCGTCGCGCTTCCAGCGGCGGCGGCGGAGCATGCGCGAGTGGCCGTGGCGGCTCGAGGCCATCACCTCTCGGAGCTGGCGGCCGATGCTCGTGTGCACGTCCGAGGCGAGCTCCGAGAGCGTCGGCTTGTGCGCCATCGAGTGGCCCGCGCTGACGCCCGAGAGGCGGCGCAGCATGCGGCGCGCGCCGTTCCGGCTGCCAAAGCTGCCCTTGGAGGACTCGTCGGTGGCCGAGGAGGTCAGGCGGTCCCACACGCGCTTCCAGTAGGCGTACACCACCGCGTCGCAGTCGGACGGCACCGCCACCTCGCCGTCGGCCACCACCCACGGCTTGGGGCACGAGTGCGTGATCCAGTGCACCGCGAAGGGCGCGCCGGCAGCCTGCCAGTCGTTGGCCACGTCGGCGCGGCCGATGGCGAGCTTGGTGACGCCACGCTCGGGCGTGGAACCGTCGTAGTACGAGTTGAGGAGGGCCTGCTCGGTGCAGTCGATCACGTTGCCAAACTTGTTCTTGTGCTCCTTGCTGCCCTCGGCGAGCAGGTCCTGGTAGGTGGCCTCGGACGGCGACAGCATCATCACGCCCGCGTTGAAGTACGAGTGGAAGCGGGCGCGCTCGGCGGCGAAACCCTTGACCTTGTCGAAGGCGCCCGAGGCGTCGCCGGTGAGGACCGTGTCGGCGTCCAGGTAGAGGATGCGCTCGTACTTGAGCTGCTG